ATCAGTCAAGAGAGGAGAAAAGAAGTCAAGAAACAGAGGGAAGGTGATCAAGTATTCAAGAAACTTCAAGAAGGTGGCGACAAAGAGAGGAGATCTCAGCACCATGGGCAAATTCAAGAGTTCTTTCTTTCCCTTTGTTTGCTTTAATTCTCTTATAATGAACTGATTTATTTCTTGCTAGGGCTGTGGAAAGCCTAACCACGTTAATGAATATATTTTTCTTTATGATTTATCCAAGATTGTGATTTCCAAATAGTCTATGAATTATTGTGCTTAATGCAATTAAAAGCATGGCCACCTCTTAATTGATTTGTGTTATGTGAATGAATCGAGAGAGGTATTCACATTATCGACTGAATAATTCATAGAGTGAATTGAATGGTATATATAGATATATATACATGATTCATCTGAATTTAATGGTTTTTCTTGGACTTAATGCATTTCCATCTTGAGAGCTCTACTCGAGAGATCGAAGGGTTACCTGATGGGTGTAGGTTTAGTATATCTCGAGAGAGAATATTAAATAAATTTGGGAAGACCTCAGCTTATGGGAATGACAAATAATCTTGGTTAATCGAACCCATCAATATTCATTACATTGGTTAGGTGGACCAAAAGTCCTAACGGTTTCATCCATTGCACATTCGGTTAGTGATAACCTTTGTTTCTATTTACTCTTTCTAGTAGTTCTTGCTCAAATCTGAATTTTGATTGTCCAGATAATTAGGAAAGACGGTGGTTCTAATACTTGTTTTGTTAAATCCCTGTGGGATCGATATTATTATACTACTTGATAACTAGTGCACTTGATAGGGTTATATATTTATAGCTATCAAGTTTTTGGCGCTGTTGCCGGGGATTTAATCCTAAAATAATATTAGAACTTGTTAACCTTGATTAATTTGGATTTTTTTGTTGCTTTTTTATTTTGTTATTATTTTATTTTTATTTTTATTTTTCTATTTGTTTGATTTCTTGCTGGTTCAGATTTACTAGTGCATGACACGCACTAGAAAGGAAGGACTAGTTGAATTCGATCCTGAAATTGAGAGGACCCTTTGCTTGTTGCAAATGGCCAACAAAGGTAAAGCAAGAGAGGAGGTTGTTATTGGCGAACCAACAATAGAATTTGAAGGAGAGATGGCAGAAGGAAATCGCACCCTATTGGACTATGCTTGTCCAAACATTGATGGGGCGACATCTAGCATTTGCAAGCCCACCATTCATGCCAACAACTTTGAAATCAAGCCTGCAATAATTCAAATGATCCAAACAAGCATTCAGTTTAGTGGGTTACCAAGTGATGACCCTAATGCACACATTGTTAACTTCTTTGAAATATGTGATACTTTTAAACATAATGGAGTTAGT